GGATCTGAATTATTTGCAGATCACAGAAAGAGCCTTTTAAATACAGGCTGTGTGTACACAGAAACTCAAAACAACATATTTTAAAAATCTTTTCTGGTGCCTTTTTCTATCGGAACAGCAAGATAGTTCACTTTATTTTGTAGGTTGAAAGAACATTTCAGCTGCCTTGCTGCTCATGTCAACATGATGTCATCTTCAAAAGAAACACTAGTCTAGTATTACAAGAATTGAAAGGCAATATAAATCTTAAGTGAAGTTTCTTTGAGAGGTGCCTATAGTGAACATGTCCTTTTTTCACCTGCCTATCACTATATGGTTTCTTCTGATAAGAACCTTGATTTTCTTTTGGAGAATGACCCTCTACCCCATCTTTTGTCCTGAGACTAAGGCATATGTTTCAGTATAAGATCCAGAATTTGCTAATGAGACATAATCTCAAGATTTTATTGGAATTAGTTGGAAATAAGTTCTCTGTTTCTACTAGAATGGTTAGCTATAAGGATGATATAAGTTGAACATTGGAGAAAGATGGGGAGATGGAGGGAAAAATCACTACATGAAAATAAACTCTTTTAAGTCAACAGAGAGGGAAGGAGAGACCATATCCTGATGACATTGTTTGCACCCTAGATCCAATCATACCTGAAGATATCTATGCAAGGATTTTTCAGTTAAATAAGTTTGAGTTTTTGACACAAGAAAAAGTATTATAGCACAAAAGAAGAACTCCATGTATTACATACACATAACTAAACATCTAAAAATCCTTTCCCCCGTTTCTCAGTATCTCTCAGTATCATTTAGAATGGCAGTTGTGCTAAATCCTTAGTCTCACTCTGTCTAATCTCCCATAAACTTTCTCTTCTAAACTAAGATCACCCTACATCTTTGTTTTTCTCACTCCCGTCCTCAAAGCTTTTCTGGCTCTCTTCCTCTCCCACTTCCACTAAGAGTAACAAAATCTAGGTAAGCTTTGTAGATCAGTCTAAACTTCTGAGGCTTCTTTTGCTGCTGTACCTCTAGGCCTTATCTAGATCAGTGTAATTAAGGTCCAAAATGCTTTCTGAATAACAAAGGATCCTTCCTCTTCAAAAGGGTGAAAGGCTGGAAATACATGTAAATTTTCTGTTCTGGTCTCGTTTGTATTTGGTACAAATACCGTGTTTGCTTGGATGTTAATTTTGTTTGCAAACAGCTACTCCTGGGGTTCCCTTTGGGTAAGTTTGCCAAGATAGTGCCTCAGGGTTTTGTTCTACTTTGTCTGTGTGTTTTTGAAGGGGGGGGGAGGGTAGGTGGGAAAATAATTAAACTAGTTAAATCAGTTTGGTTGTTTTTACAAGTCAGAGAACTAGTCAGGTCCTGGATTCAGACCAAGGGGATACAGAGTGCTAGGGGTGTCACTCACTCTACTGCATTTTATTTCCTTTGTCTTTGGGAACATTCTTTGGGTTTTCTACAGAAACAGGCAGAGATTCTCATGGACAATCGCCTCATGCAGAAACTCCTCCCTAAACACATTTTTTTAGACACTGTGCCCAGGACTCTTTTAAATGTCCTAAGAATATTGACTCATTCAAAAGCGGCTCAGCTGCTTTTGGGAGAGTACCAGCATTTGTTCCATAAAGATCTAGATTGTCTGTTCACACACAGAGGCACCCAAAAGTTCTACTATGCTGGACGCTCAGTTGATCTCCAGTCCCTTTGTGAACATATTAGTTATGAGCGGTCTGAATCCCATTCTTGGGTCTACTCAAACTATCTTTGGTGCCCTCAGGCTGGGGGACCCAGTGGGGACACCACCTAGCATGATGATGGCTGCCTAGAGCCCAGGGAACTGTGTGTCATGATGACTCTGGGAGACATATCAGCTTTTTAAAAGCCCCATCTTTCTTTTACACATTTTTTTTTTCTTATGAACCTTCTCAACCACAGTGAAGTAAAATCTATTATAGTGTCCTGGAATGGTAGGGAAAAGATGGCATGGCACATCCAGGGATATTTGAGCAGAACTTAATGAAGGCACTATTTTAAAAGGTGTGGACAAGGTTAAAGGACACCTCTGGGAGCCATTACCACCACCTCCACGCCTGAAGGGATAAGGGCAGTGGGTGATAAACAGAAAGTGACAAACAGAACCAAGAGAGAACCATAGGAGAGGGCCACAGGATTGAAGTAATGGCTTTCAGATAAAGAATATAGCCACAGCTAATAGAGTGGCCCTCGGGAGGTGTAGTGGGGGATCCTGTATAATATCCTGCTCTGTAATCTCCTGCAGATGTCTCCCATTGGCCAAACCAAGTGAAAGCCATAGGACAGTTGATGTAGTGCATAAAGGTCAGCCCTGAGTCACAGAGCAGGGTGGAGAGCGGATCTGGAGGGACAGAGGAAAAACCCAGCAGTCACATCCTATCTTTTCAGCACCTTGGTTCAGGCCTCACCCTTTCTTGCCTGGTCTATGCTAATGGCCTTCCTGCTTGTCCTCTTGACCCATCTAGTCCATTTCTTTGATGACCAACTCTGTTCCCAAGAGACTATGCTCATTCAGGATGATATTGGGGTATGTCGACATGAGTCCAGGAACCAGCTCTGCAGTGTCAAGACCCTTCCCTCAGAGGCCTCATCGGTAAAATGTCAGGTGGATTCCGAGATGCCGGAAGATCTTTCCGGACCACGACTTACCGATGCTAAGACATGTTTTTAAATACCAAGGAATCGACTTGCGATATTTAAACGCAAACAGACAGGTAGAAATGGACTGAGGCTGCCTCCCTGCTCCCTTCCTGAAGACCACGTCACCCCGGCTGATCCGCGATTGCTTCAAATCTGCTCTCTCCAAGGGCGTAGGCTAAAGAGGCCCCTGTCCGGCAGTTTTCCGGCGCCTTGGACCCTCCCACCGCGCTGGTAGGGAAGTCCCTCAGGCCAGCCACAAATCCTGGGCGCCCCCCGCGGTTTTCGACGCAGGTACTGGCCGGCTGTTGGGAGGTGGGCAGCAAAGAGCGCAGGCGCAGTGCCCGCACCCGCGGCGCCCCTCTCCCCTCCCCGCCTGGGGCCTCAGCGGCCCCAGAGGCGGTTTTCCTGGTGAAGCGCGCGGCAGCGGGCAGCCCTGGCCGGAGCACCGGCGCGCCTTCCTCGCCGCGACACGCAGGTAACCGGGCCCCGAGAACTGGTCGGCAGCGGCGGACTGGGATCTTGACCTGCCTGCCGGGCCGCCCCACCCGGAAGGAGTGGGAAAGTGCCGCGAACCCCACACACCCGCTTTTAGCTGTCGCACCTAAAAGGCAGAGCCCCTCTTTTGGGGTGGGGTTCTCCTGGGGCAAAGCGCCCCGCCCTCTTCACAAACCTTCGCGGGGGACTCTGCTCGACGCCTGAAAGGCCCCGGGGACCCCACTTCTCTGCGCTGCTCTCTTGAAGAACCAGGACACGGGGTCCGTAGGATCAGCATCAGCGACGGGCCCTACACCCCCGTTTCCTGCCACAGTCTTACGTATTGGTCCTTCCCCACCCTCTATAATAAAAGCTGTTGCTTTCCTCTCGCCCAGAAGCCCATCCAAACAAGGGTGAGTCCCTGTGGCGTCATGGGATCAGTTTCGAATACAAACTTTTAAGAATGCTGGATGGTTTTAGAAATATGGCCAAGTATTAGTATTTTCCTTTACTCTCTTGTCTGATGTCTATGATTCTTGAACGCCAGCCAGTCTATGTGGGTTGAGATTTTCGTGGAGAATAATCGGTTTGTAGAAATCTTTAACGAAAGGAGGGCAAGGAGTAGTGGAGGAAGGGCCAGGCTACGGCCGAGTGTGGCGGCTGGAGGCGCAGGGCAAGTCCACTCAGCCTCCCCCAGCCCCCGGGAGGAAAACGCGAACCCTCCCAGACCATCCTCTGGGCGCTGTAGCATTTCTACGCCACGTGCGCTGGTTTGGCCTCTTGAGAGGAGTAGGGTGGAGTGGACCAGCAGGAAGGAGACTCGTGTTGGGGCGAGTGAGGGTGCTGCGCTGACCTGCATCTCCGTCTACTCTTTGGCCGGACTGGGCGAGGAGCGGGTTGGAAAGCCTGCTTGTGAGGGAACATTGAGGGCCCCGAGAGAGTGACGCACTGGGCGGAGAGGGTTGGGGGCATCTGGGGAGAGGGCGGTGCGGTCTCCGCTGGCTATTCCGCGGGGAGAGGACTTTTATTGGTGTTGCCCGTGTCCGTGGTGCTGAAGTGCCTCAAGTGCCTTCGTGGGTTTGCTTCCGGCCGCGACCGGCCTAGCGATTCTACTCTGCCAGAAATAGCCCATCTCCAAGCAGGCGGCCAGAGTGGAGCCGGTCGGACACTGAAACCCTTTGCAGATGCATTGATGCTGGTTTCCTGAAGATATAATGAAGGCAAATGTGGCTTGCCTTGGGGGTGCAGATAAAGCATATGCATAAGAGGTTTGATTACCTACATGCAAGTATACAACCGTGAGCATGAATCTCATGTATACGAATATAGGATATACCTATGTGTATATACATACAAACAATGCACATATAAATACACTCCTTTGTTTTCAACGCCATCACACACTACAAGTGACACATTTTTCCAGAACTTTTTTTTGTAATCCATCGTTAGTTTTTTCAATCTCTAGTGTTTCTGAACCCTGCAGAACCATTGATTTTCATAATCATCTGTTCCAAAATCACAGGGCCCTTGCATTAAAGTGTTTGGTATTTTGCTGAGCAATTTACTTATATGTATAGTATTTTAATTCCAGAACAAAGACAGTATAGAAAGATGTAAAATTGATATTTATACAAAAAAGATGTTCTTAAAGGAAGTTAAAAAGAGTTAATGAAAAATTCAATACAGAACAATATCTCGATAATCTTATGGAAAGTTATAATCTAAAGAAAATATGACTAGGATGTATCATAATGCTGGCAATTTCAAATATACTGAGGTTATATGGTTTTTGAACTCCTTAAAGATTACATGTGTACTTTCATAATATTGATATCTACAGTTTTTCTCTCACAGAATATGTGCTTATTGTAAGAAATCTATGTAATAGAGATGCATAAAACCAGAGAAAACCATTGTGAACAGATTTTCTTATAGTGACCACACATGCATTTTATTTTTTTTGTTGTTTTTGTTTTTATTAGTTTCAGGTGTACAAAATAATGTAATAGTTAGACATTTACACCCCTCACAAAGTGATAACCCTCCTCCCCCAATCTACTACCCCTCTAACATCGTATATAGCTGTTACAATTCCACTGTCTCTTCCCTATGTGTACTCCGCCTCCTGTGACTATATATATATTAAATTATAGTTGACATTCAGTATTATTCAACTTCAGCTTCAGTTGTACACTGTGGTGGTCAGGCATTTACACCATCCATGAAGTGGTCTCCCTAATAAGACAAGTGCCCATTGGATACCCTACAAAATCTTTGCAACATTATTAATTATATTACCCAAACTGTCTTTTGTATGTATCCCTGTGGCAATCGTGTGGTTACCAATTTGTGCTGTCTAAACCCCTCACCTTCTCCCTCATCCCCACTCTCGTCCCATCTAGCAACCCTCAGTTTTGCCTCTATATCTCTGAGACTGTTTCTGATTAGTTTGCTCATTTATTCTATTCTTTAGATTCCACATATAAGTGAGATCATATGGTATTTGTCTTTCTCCATCTGACTAATTTCACTTAGCATAATGTTCTCTAGGTCCATCCATATCATTGCAAATGGTAAGATTTCATTTTTCTTTATGGCCAAGAATACTCCATTGTATAAATGTACCACTACAAGATCAGTGCTCTAACCCCTGAGCTATGGAGCCTACTCACACATGCATTTTATTTTTTAATTTTTATTTATTTTTTTAATGTTTTTATTGTTAGTTTCAGATGTACAGAACAATGCAATAGTTATCCTTTTCACCCTCACAAAGTAACAACCCCCCTCCCCCCATCTACTGCCCTCCTACCCCTGATATCATGCTTATCTATTACAATCCATTGACTCCATTCCCACTCTCTACTCCATGTCCCGTGACTATCTATCTATCTATCTATCTATCTATCTATCTATCTATCTATCTATCTATAATTATAGTTGACATACAATATTATTCAACATCAGCTTCAGAAATACAGTGCGGTGGTCAGGCCTCTACACCGACTATGAAGTGGTCTCCCCAACAAGACATGATTCCATCTGGCCCCCTAAGAAATATTTACAACATTATTGATTATATTTCACACATGCATTTTAAATGGACCGATCGATCTTCTGTTGGTTGAATTTTCACTATATAATTTATCATTAATGTCTTTTGAACCAATATACATAAAACTAGGTCATCATTAAGGGTTAAATAATATTGCAGTGTATGGATAGCACCAAATTTATTTAAACCTTCTCATAATAATGAACATTTATGTATTTACAATTTTGTTTTGCTATTTTAGACAATTCTGCAAATAACATTTTTGAACAAACATTTGTACACGTATTTGATTATATTTTTAAAACAAATTCCTAGAAATGAAATTGATGGTTTAACAGGTAGGTACATTCTATTTTTTGATACATTGATTTGTTCATTTATTTTTCAATTATTTTGTCTCCTCTCTTGTCTGTTTTATTCTTTACTATGTTCTCAGCATCTAAACAAAGGTGTACCGATATGTACCACTATAAACACTGAATTAGAATGCCAGTATCCCCACACTATCACCAAATTAGGCTATTAGGTTTTATCAAACTTTAAAAAGTATTTTCCAATTAGGCAGAAAAGAACATCTTTTTATATATTTATTGTGTTTTGTGAACTCATATCCTTATTCTTCTATTGATGTGCTTATATTTTTTCTTATTTTAAGAGCTCTTTGTATACTATGGACTTTGTTACAAATGTTGCAATTTTTTCTTGATTTTTTTATTTTAAACTTTATATTTTGTATTGTATAGAAAATTTCAATTTTATGTAATCAAATATATATATTTTCTTTTATAATTTCTGTCACTTACATTAGACTTTCACTACTCTATAATAAATATTTTATAAAATATTACATTTTAAACTCTAGGTCTATACCCAAACTTTCTTTTCTAATTAAATTCATATCATTAGTAGACATAAAATTCTATTGAAGATTGTTTTGTGAGAAGTAATTACATATGTTCAACCCACATATACATAGGCTTGCCCTCTATGAGGAATAACATGTTTGAACCCTTTAATGTGATATATTTAATATCGAAATACTTAATGAAAATGTTTTTACTTAAAATGCTGTTTCATCTGTAGTATTTTTTCACTGTTAGTATGCAGTATTTTTTAAAAGGAGCTATTCTTTAGAGTATCTTTTGTAGATGAAAGAAAATATAACAAAGCCTACTTTTTAGTCAAATTAAGGAATTCATATCACTGAGGTTCATAAGAATGTGCACACATAAGGCTGGTCAAATGTCTTAAAAACAAACACTTTTTTGACATCCATTATAGATCAAAATAACTTTTTCCCAAAACTGAAAGAATGGTTATTTGGGCATTGATAAACTATCCTGTGGTATTTTCTTTCTGGGGTTTAAAAACATTTTAAAACAGCCAAATGGGAATAATTTTATTTTTATATAATATGAAAAATTTAAAATATAACTGATTATAAAAAATGGAAACACCAGAGTAGAAAATAAAAGCCCTCTTTAGTAAGCCATTCTCCACGAATGGTAACCATGAATATAAATTTGGAATAAATACTTTTAGATTATTAAATTCATAAACATACACTTCATTGAATGTAAGATGTTATCAATTGTGAGATGTATTTTGAGTTAAATGTGAAAAAATGTGCATCTTAAATTTGTTATATTATAAATAGAATCATATTATATCTATTTTTCCACATAAGATATGGACATCTTCCCATCTGACAAATATGAGTATTGAATTAATAAATATCTAATTTACGTACATTTAGATTTAACAATTTTTGGATAATAAAATCAATGCTGTAATGAACATTTTAAAAATATACTTCTGTGTAATGGTGTTATTTCCTTAGAATAAATTCCTAAATGAAATTGATAGGTTAGGGAGAATGCACATTTTACATTTTGGTACATATTGTGTGCCCTTCAAAAATCTTGTAACAATTTGCTCTGCAACCAATAGCGCATAAAGTTCTAGGTTCTTCACTCGCTTATGCTACATATAATCAGCCTTTTTCATTTTCCTGGCGAAACAGATATCTCACTCTTAATTTTGTTTCTGTGACTTTTATAGAAATTGCGCATCTTTCCATATGTTTATTGGTTATTTGTATTTCTTCTTTTGTGAATGACCTATTCATAGCCTTTGCCAGATTTTCTTGAGTTTTTTTTTTAAAGATTTTTATTGGGGAATTGGGGGGTGGGAACAGCTTTGGGGAATTGGGGGAAGGGGAACAGACAAGTTGCCGTCCTTTTTTGTTCTTTAGTCTAGTTGTGGAGGACGTTGCTTCACTGGCCCAAGTTGGCACCATCATTGCGCTCTTCCCGGGCAAGATAGATGTAGAGGGCAGTGTCAGTGGCCCTCATA